ACCTTTCCCAGTTTTGGAGGTGTAATTATTTCTGCCAGAAGGAAAAAAAAAAAAAAGGCTAATTACACTGTGAGAAAAAAATGCTCACAGCACCTACATGGGCTTTAATGCTGCAAGTTAGATTTTTACTATGAAAAAAGTGAGCCTTTTTTTTGGATTACTAGCGCCCTGAGTAAACTGATTAATGCTGCATATCGCCTTATGGTATATTGTGTTGTCACACAGTTGAAACAAGTAGCTCTCGTATCAGCTTGTGTTATGTTATGTTGGTCAGCTGCATTTACATTACAGCTGTCAGCAGATTTATACAAACCGGCCTCAGCTAAAGAGGCTCTGCTCCATTTTAATCATGTCTCATCTGAAGGGTTTAACAAGAAGAATGACTTAATGAACTGTGACTGGAAACTGCTCTCCCAGCTGAGAATGAGTTAAAATTAGACTCACTTGAGGTTAAACTGCTGTGTGTTAATGTCTGGATCCTAAAAGAATCTGCAGTCTCTGGAGAAAAAATAACGCTGACGTTGCTTAACAGGAACTCAGACATAAGGAACTGGGCAAATGGCATCAGCACTAACACATAAGTAGCTACAAGCACACAACCGCCACATGCTGTAAGCAAATACAAGTGTCTTAAAGAGGGATTTCCGTCATCAGAATTTATGTTTAGGACAAACAGACAGCAGATAGATGTCGAGTTAGAGAAGAAGTGAACTTCCTGAATTTGCCTTGCAGTGACCTCGGGCCCAGGGAGGCGGTGGGAAAGAAGAATTTAGCAGATGTCGGGAGTTCAGTCGTCCATAGGGGTTTGGTGCTAGTTAATCTCAACTGTCCTCATTCTTTCTCTCACACATACTGCAGGCTTTACTAAACTAGACCGTGTATCTCAAAAGACTAAAATCACACGATTTGTTGGAAAATATGTTTGAACACCAACTAAAAGTGATAATATGAGCAGGAGACTCCATTTCAGTCAGTGCCATCAGACCTGTGGCAAGTACTTTTGCTGCTTGTGATGGTGGCAAGCAGGTGCTGATTTTAGCAAAAACTTAAGTGGACTTTCACAAAGTAATCATTTTTAATTGGTAAATCCATCCATCTGCTTTCTCCTGCTTATCTGGATTCAGAGCCCATTAAGCTAATTAATTATATTATTAGGATTGATTCCTCCTCGAAGGCCGAGGCAGAAGTGTGATCAGTGCTGTTTGTCTGCTAGAGCCCGACAGATGCTGGATATTTGAGGCCATTGACAATTAAAACTTTTAGGATCTAGAAAAAAAATCTGAATTAGTATATTAGTTTCTATTCTTTATACACTGTTGCCCATAAAGTTAGAATTTTTTTTTTATTTTTATTTTTTTTACCTCTTTTCATGAAATGGTTGTGACAATGCGATTTATTCTTGATAGATAAAGTGCATATCTTCTCAAAACTTTATTGGTACCACAACATACATACAATACATATCACAGTAAAAATGTAACCACAATTAACTTTTGCAAACTGTGTGTTCAGGCTTAAACTAAATTGGGGGTATTGAACAATAGGATTAAGGGTTTTGTTTCAATTTTTTTTTAGCCTTGGTCAATTTAACAGGAAACACATATTTGAGGGATTTCATGCATTAGAATGTCCATTATTACAATTTCAAATGTCCCTCAGTCACTAGTATTGAGTATGACCACCCCTGACACAGATCAATGCGTTACGACATTGTTGCATACTGTCCACCAGCTTGTTGATGGTGTCAATGTGCAAGACGTCCCACTCTTCAGTCAGATCCCAAAGTCAGAATTGGTTCCACCTGGTAACTGGGACTCAGAATCTACATCTGGTCAAAGTGATTACTGACGTGTATAAATAGAAATAAAAAGAGGAATGTGTCTAAAAAAAAACCCCCAAAACATTCCAACTTTATGGGCGATGGTGTATATCTTATTTTACAAACTACATACTTAACAACTTACTGTGAAGACTCCATAGCTTGGGCTACTCAGCTGTGATATGTTCTCTGCTACATGTGCTGCAGACAGTGCTGAAAGCATTGGAGCCGCTCTGCTGGACAAATCATGTGATGACCCCATTTCTCACATAGCCCAAACATCTTTTTCTCTATTATGTTCTGTTTAGAAATAAACAGGTTATATATGGTTCATACCGGACAACATAAATAATATACACCATTATATATATCTAAGTTTTGCCAGTATCTACCGGTGATATCAGCTGACTGATCAGTTTGTCTTCTGACAGCAAGATCATGCAAAATCTACGAAGCCGTATTTGATAAAACCCTGGTGGAGAGGTGGAGCATGGGCACAAGAAGAACCTTATTCATTTTTGGGCTGGATTTACACCACTTACATTAAAAATGTGAGATAGGGGACTGACATGGGCAGAGGATATGCTCTCTGAGTGCACTTGTAGTTATTTTAGGCTGCTGAGAAGACTGGAAAGTGTGATACGGTAACAAAGAATTCTAGGCTGTATGGTCCCCAGGAGCTTTCCATTGTACTTTATTACTTTTGCTGGTGTGGTTGTGAAACACATATTAAATTGCATTTGGGCATATTAAAAATGTCTTAAAACAGCTTTAATATAAGCTGGTGAATTTTGCACAACCCTGTTTTGTTGTGTTTTTAGCTCTCCTGTATTCTATACTAATCTATTTTCCTTTCCTTTCCTTTCCATTCCTTTCCTTTCCTTTCCTTTCCTTTCCTTTCCTTTCCTTTCCTTTCCTTTCCTTTCCTTTCCTTTCCTTTCCTTTCCTTTGATTTACTCGCCCTGCCTTGCCTTGCTGTTTAGCCCCCCCTTCTTTAATCCCTGTGGTGAACTAATATATATCCTGCACACACCTATTAATCTGTCACATGTGAACGTGCGGTAGCCGGTCTGGTTGGGCAAGATAAACAAATCTAGTGACTTTCCAGACTACTGGTTGTGTGATTAAGCATTTGTTCAAGGAAGGAAAAAGAGGCAGAAAGCCTGTAGTGTAAAAGAGGAATTTGTTTGTCGAGTAGTAAGAAAAAAAATATTTTCTATTCTGACGTTTTGCTCTTTAATGGTTTTGTGTCAGTTTAGAGAGCATATTTAGCTGCAAGCAGGAGCTGCTTTCTGATGAGATTTTGCATCAGCTGAACCAAAACGTTGAGAGGAATTGTTTTTTTTTTAAAGGGAAGAAATCAAAGGAGCCTCACATTTTGGTATCCAACATATAGCATTTAGTTTTGCATCAAGTTAGAGAACACATTTAGCTGCGAGGAAGAGCACGTCAAGCTGTCTTTGTGATGAGATTTTGCATTATTCCTCTCCCGTCACACATACGCACATTCAGGAGGGCCTCTGCTTTATGTCCTACAGACATGCTATCTTTTGATGCACATTCTCCTCTCATGTGGAAAACAGAATACATGAATGTAGGTCAGCGCCGCAGACTGAAGTCCACACGCCTCCTCTGCTGGAATAGACTGCAAGAAGCTGTTCATGCTTTCCCACACTTCTGCCAGGAATTCCATACGAAGTGCGGTGTAGCATGACCTCACAGATACAGTTAACGGATAAGGCTTCGGCGAGTGGATTAAAGACCCGACACCTTGCTTGCCCGAACTCGTCCTCGTAGCTATACTGTCTGCACAGCGTTTGACTAAAATGTGTCTGCTTCCTGGTTTCAAGATCAGGTTATATGTGATTGAGACGGACTCACTAATCTGGTGTGAAATGCAGCGTGGCCACATGCCACTGGGCTGCCATGTTCTGCACTTAGGAAGTGACTTCATAACAGTCTGGGTGAAAGTGGTTCCAACTTGCCCTCGTCATCCTGAAACTAGACGTTTGGTATGCAGTGAAACAAGAAGTGATTGTGTGGTGCGTTCACGGCTCTGCCTATGAAGTGTAGAGTTTATAGTACTTAAATTCAAGGGGGGAAAGTTACAAAGTTGGTCTCCAGTAATATTTGCACAATATTACAATAGCAGGTTTTTACATGACATCATACTGACCCACCCAAAGAGCAATAACAATAAGACACTTTTTTTTTTTTTTTTTTACACTATTTAACTTTTATCACAACTTTTGTTTTATGATTTTTCTTTCTCTCTCTTTGTTTTTAATCACAGACACATTTTATAGCTTTGCAGTGACAATGAAAAGTGGGGAGAGCACACATTAAAGTGTAAGCTTAAGAAAACGATTTTTAAAAAGTGACATTTAACAAGCAGTAAGTCTTGTTTTATCTGCCAAGTTTATCTTTTAGATTTATGCCTTCACACAAATACAGGGAAGGCGTCTTGAAATGTGTCCTAGAATGAGTATTTCAATAGCAGCTTAAAATACTTTATGGTTAATCGTGAGATTACAACTGTCTGTAAACCTAAACAACTCGTTCATAGAGACTTTTTCTAAATCTATAAAGAAAAGAACAAGGCAATGGTTGTTTTTTACATTTTGTGGGTCCCTACACACACAGAACCATGTGTACATACTGTATGTAAGTAATTAGTACTGGATTTTGTGCAATGTGGCCTCTTAAAGGAATCTACCAGCAAACAAGAGTCAGTGTTTTTCTGGATAATCCCCTCACTTATGTTTTGGTAGAAAGTAGTCTCAGTGGAAATGACTGACCGTGTGGGGTGTCTTGTGGAAGTGGTGCAAAATGTTTTAGTACCACGCTGCAATTGGATTTTTTAATGTAGTGTTTTTAACACAACAGAACACAAGCTAAACGTGCTACCTTCTGCTTGCTACTGCTGTCTATGAGAAATAAACAATGTTTTCCATTGTATTTGGGTGGAGGCAGAAACCTCAGATTGATATCTCAGAAACTGGGCAAGTAAAGCCAAAACAAATCCCTGTTACCGCATACCACAGAGGTAAATGAGAACCTGTTGTCATTTGGATGTACTGGACCTCTAACTTCTGCTGTTGTGTTTGGCTTCTACCCATCCTTTTGTGCAATAACACAATTTACCAAAATGTTTGTGTAATTTTTTTCTCTTTCGACTCAGGCGCCTTTGCCAAGGTGAAGGAGAGCCAGCGGATGAGCGATGAAGGGAAGATGGACCAGGACGAGGCCGACGGCATCAGGAAACGCTGCCGGACTGTGGGGTTTGCCCTCCAAGCAGAAATGAGCCACTTCCATCAGCAGCGAGAGGTGGACTTCAAAGACATGATGCAGGCCTACCTCAGGGAGCAGATAGCCTTTTACCAGCGTGTTGTCCAGCAACTGGAGCGCACCCTGCGCATGTACGACTGTATGTAAAGACACCAAACTGCTTTCTGGGTCAAGATGCCAAAAAACAAAAAAAAAACAAACGAAGAAAAGGAAGATGTAGTGGAATATTCAAGTCTTGACTCTTTCATCGAGGCGTTTTATTCAGTTTGAAAAGACTTCAGATGGATTAAGGGTTAGTTACTGGAAAGACGTTTAAAGCCAGTCAGTCTTTCACTTTGATGGATTCAAAGTCCGATTTCCTGTTGTTTTTTTGTTTTTTTTAAAGAACCTACTGTATCTTTTATTTCTGAAATACACATCACATAAGCAATGTCACAGCATATTGTTTATTTTACATAATTTAAGGTGTTTGTAACTTTAAGAGTATAGGTTTCAAATTCATAGTGGATCTATAGGTGATTGCTCTATAGTGTAACACATTAAAGCCATGAAACGGGTTCTGTTTTGAAAATGTCCCCTTCTCTCCAACATCATGCACTTTGGCTTCTCCAGGAATTGATTCCAGTTACACCCAAATTCCTAGAGAACAACACATTATTTTCTGGTTATTTAAGAACCTATAATAAACATTCCAGGTGTTTTTTTTTTTTAAATTCAGTCTTTTTTGGGTATTATCAGTCAGTCAATTTTTTAATCAGACCATTCTGGCCAAACAAGTGCACTGTACACTAAAGTAGAATTTAACCATCATCTTGTTGAGTGCTCATCTAGCTCAGGTGTTCACTTCTTTGAACTTCATGTTAGTTGTTACAAGTCACAAATGCCTGTCGTATCTTTGCACCACATCAAAGTCTTACTGATAATGTGTAATTCAGTTTATTGAGTTCATTTTCTTACTTTTTTTTTTATTTTTATTTTTTAAAGCAGTACATGCCTTTAAGGCTCTGCAGCATTTTGGTGGAATATTTTCAAGTGGACCATTTGTCTGTAGTATGGCTTGTGTTTTTATACGGTGACTTGTTGGAATGAGCTGACTTGAGACAAGTTTGCACACGTTTTTATATACTATTTGGTCATAGTCAGTGGGAGTGTTTATGTTGTGTGGGTGAACGAGTGGAACGAGTCAAGCGCCGTGCAGATCAATTCCCTTTTCCATGGTGGAAATAAACCACAAATACGTGTCTTTATATGTAGCAGCAGGTTTCTCTGTATGTTTTATTTGAAAGTGTGAGAGTTGAAGCAGATCATGTAGTTGTGTGAGGCAGAACGTCAACTTCAATCATGTAGAAGACACAAGACCAAATTCTTCCTTCTACATTACTGCAGTTTTGTGTTTAATGTACTCTGGGTCGAGCATTTGAAAACAGCTAATGAACAAGAGTACAGATTTTTCAGATCGTCTCAATTCTACAGACTAATAAAATAGTAACATAAAGGAATACACATCTGTGCTTTCTTCCATGAGTTGGATGAAATGACTAATACCACTCATGTCTGACCATGTGTACATATGAAGGTGCAGCTAACAGATTGTTAGCTTAGCGCAGCTCAAAGAGGGAAAACAGGGTGGAACTGCTGGTCTGGCTACTGCTAACAAAACTCAACTTTCGGCTTGTCACTCACTAGTTTAAAATGCTCTATTTTATTAGTTTAATCTACAAAAAAACCAATGGGTCACATGTAGGTATTCCATACTTAGCACTACTGCTAAGCATGCACACTACTGTACTTGTAGAATAGTTGTTGTGTGGACTGCCTGTGCAAAAACAAATCTGGACCAATATCCAAAACGGTTCACATGGACAAAATTTACGAATCCTAGTGTACATTTGCGTATTTAGGAATACCTGGGCTTGTGCAAACTCGGTTAAAGAATGCCTGACAGCCTTGGAAGTGACACGAATAGAGCAAACGTCCAACAACGTGAAGCTAAAAGCCATGCTGCGGACCTTGAGGCCCAAAGCTGCTGTAACAACATCCGCATCTTCTCTGGCCTGATACTTCAGCTTTACGTCAAAACAAGGCCTTGTGGGTTTTTTTAAACCTTGTGTTTTTTTTTTTAAAGATTAGAAGCGCTTTAGTTTGCTTTAGACATAGCCAGACTAGCTGTTTCCCTGTGTTTCCAGTTTTTATGCTAAGCTAAACCAAAGTCATTCTGGAGCAAAACTCTCCACCCGGCAGCCATCTTGGTGAAGCCTCTGGGCTATTCTTTTGGGCTAACAAGACCAGATCCCTGTCCAACCAAATACAATAAGAGCCACAACTGCAATTTTAAGGATCACTGCCACATAGAAAACTACATGTATAGCATCAGTGCAGCAACGTGATTGTAGAAGGAGCAGCAGTTATAAAGTAGATGATTTGTTGTTTTAAGGGACGGGTGTGGCATGTGTCATACAACTGCCATGTTCGGTGTTATGGAATTCTGTCGTTCATTTCTTTTTGAGATTCTTTATGTGTTGAGTCTCTTCTAACTTATAACGTATTCGACTCAACTAAACAGCTGGCTGTAAGTGACTGTTCTTTCATCTAACTTTCTCCAAATGTCAAACTATTCCTTTAAAATAATCCATGTACCGTATAGTTTTTCCAGCTGCGATTATAAAGTGCCACTTTCTACCCGTCGTTAAGAAATTTCCACATTCAGAGTGCAAAATTTTCCACACTTAATAGGATTTGAGTGACTATGAGAATTCGAGTTCCACGTCTCTCCGCCTGAGCGAGAGGAGCCGCTCAAGTAACATTACTCATCCGGTTTAACAAGAGAAAAAATTTCATGGCAACCTGCGGTTTAGACGAGACTATCTTTAGCGTCGTGTCGCCCGTCGACGTTTATGTGGACCCTGCGCTGCAGTTACAAGCATTACCTCAACAAGTGTAGGGAATGTTTTTGTAAGCTTCTCCTCAAGCAAGTTCCACTGTCAGTTTGTGATACACAGATTCCTCATCGGGATGGAAGAGGGTTTGATCTCTCGGCGGTGTGTTTGGGTGAAAAGTGGAATGAATAATTTTTTTTTGTGAAATCTATGTGGTGATCTTCAGCCTGTTAGAACTTTATTATGAGTCTCCCATAACGAAAATGAAAAAAAAAGTGCTGACTCAGCGTGCAGGTTTCTCAGTAAACAAATGGTCTGTGCGTGTGTGTGTGTTTGTGTTTGTGTGACTCAGATCTGAGTGCCGTGTCAGTTCCTGGTACTGTTCAGTCCACATCTGCAGCCTTTAACTCTTTGCTGTCAAAATGCAATGCTGTTTATGTTTGTTTATTTTTGAATCAACCATTGCTTTTCATGCCTACATTTTTTTTTTTTTTACATTCGTTTTTTAAAATTTCTGTCAGCACCTGTGCCCATTGCAGTCTCCCTCCCCCTTCAAGACCAAAGAAGTCTGAGATTTTTCTGCTGCTCTACTTGGTTTGGTTGTGAAATGAAATGTGCTCTCTGGTTTTGTAATTGAGTCTGTTCTGCTCTGAGGAAAATGTGAAGAGAGCATTTGGAAAAAAAAAAAAACTTACAAAAAAAAAAAACATTCCACAAAGAAACTATCATGGACACCAAAGGCTAAGACAGATTTTTGGCTACAGAAAGACGTGCAAGGTGCAAAAGGGAGGAAGAAAAACCATTAGAATTGGATTGGTTTCATTATGACACTTTCCTCTCATGTTCCAAAGCTGCGTGATAAGTTAAATGCCAGGCATTTCACACAGGTGACTGTTTCTTAACACGGATGTGTGACTTAGTGAGTTGCAGGAGCTCTGTGCTTTAGCTTCTGTCTCTGAAATAACAGATGGTGATTTTCAGTAAGTAATTTGTCACTTGATTTAAGGGAAGGGGACGTATAATTCTTAATAAAAAAAAAAAAGTACTGATGGTGATTGGTGTCTGTGTTTGTCATCTTTGTGGTTCAGAAATGATTTGAAGCCAGTAGACACCGCGGTATGAGTTTCCCAACATGCACATATTATATCTGGACTATTCAAGTATTCTGTTTTAGAGTATGAAAGTAGACGCATTTTGCTTTTTTTAGTGACCCCTATTTCAGACACAAAGTAGGCTATTCAAGTGTGCTCTCACTTTACCCAGGGAGCTGTTGTTGTTGTCATATTCTTACTGTTTCTTTCTGTTTGTATGCGTCACCACATCCTGTTATCATAAAATATCCTGACGTACTGAGTACAAACAGTTCGCCCTGAATATAATCCAAACAAGGACAACCAGGAGCTGTTAACTAGATCACTGTGGATGCGTAAACATACTGACACACTGACGTTATTACAAAATAAATGAAACCCAAAGAAATGTGCACACATCCTGCTGGACGGTCTGAAGAGAGCAGGATTTTCCACATCAAAGTCAAGGTCTGGGTTGGAGTAGAAATCTGCTGTGTCTATTATCTGCTCTGTTCTGATGCTGGTTCTGTGGCTAGTGCTGGTTGTCAGTCTACCACTTTGTAGATAAAAATATATCAACTGCTGAAGGTACATTGTACTGACTTTGATGGTTCCCTGAATGTTTCTTTAGTGCCTCCATAAGACTGATATTTTTTGGTCTATTTTGAAATCTGTTGAAATCTGTCCAACACTTTATGAAACCTGCAAACAATGACATTGTCATTACTTTCAGCTGACCTTTGTATAATATGCCACGTTCTGCCTGAGGTATAATTGATAAACCAAAATGTATTGAACTGCCGTAACGGAACCTAAAAGTGGGTGAAAAACTGCATTTGTACCAACCTTGTTTTTGAAGGTTAATGAGTAATGGTGATTACATATTAAGACAGTAGGGTCACTATAAATATATTGCCTTTTAGTATTTACACCGATTAGGTTACTTCACTAATACCAGTCATTACTGATTTTACTGGAAGGTGCTTGACACAACATACGTTGTCACACAGCCGTAAGACATTTTGTAACTTTGTTTTGACAAAGTGCTATACAAATAAAGTTATTTTTTAATATTGTGAGAGGTAGCAGGATGATCTGTCACCTCCTGGCCAGCTACAAAAGTAGGTAAGTAATCAAAGTAAGTAAAAGAAGAAGAAGTATCATTAGGCGAATATAATCACTGCAGCACCTTTTAGAAGTGTTTTAGGATGAGGGTTAAGTTGCTTTCTATAACACACTGAGTGTCAGTCAGTGAGCTAACACAGGGAAGACACGGAAAGACCTTCAGCCAAGAGAATGTCTGGGATGGCACCTTCCACAACACAAAGTTAGCAATTAATTGGTGCTAATGTTTTTTGGGTTTTTTTTGGTGCGATTTACTGGTCCTCATTCTAATCTGTATCGCTATACTAAGACCTTCGTTGCTCAGACAGTGATTCATATTTTCTGAAATGTTGAAATATTGGTGAACATCCCATCTTCACAAGCAGTTACTCAGAATGTTAGCAATGCCACTGTTAGTATTAAGCATGAAGCATCTGTGCCTAAGCATGTACATCACATCCAACAGTCAGCCTCAACATAAACATCACCAGCCTAATATTGTGGAGGTCCCCTCCGCGTAAAACATCTGACCTGTCTGGGCATGGATATTCTGGGGGTGATGTGTGGTGTCTGGCACCAGGACACTGGCAGTGAGTCCTTGGGGTCCTGTGGGTTACAGGGTTTGGACCCTGTGGATTGAGCTATTTCCAATGCATGTGGTAGATTCTCGACTGGATTGGGATCTGAGGCGTTTAGAGCCTGGTCCAACGCTTTGGGCTCTGGCTCTGTGTCATGTTCTTTGAACTGTTCCTGAGCAGTTTCTGAGGTGTGGCGGGACACATTGTCCTGCTGGGGGAGGCTACTGCTGTTAGGGAGTGTGGAACAATGTTTAGGTGGGAGGTACATGTCAAAATAAGCTTCTCTTGAATGCCAGGATCCAACATTTTCCAGCAGAATATTGGTGTATTCATTCTTTTTTAAGTCAAAAATATTTAGTTTTAGTCATATAAATCTCAAGGAAAACCCTAACAGTAATGAAGCCATAGTTACTCTAAGAGCATCAAGTGTTGTGATGAAGTTTAAACACCCTGATTTTCAGTCTTAGTCCAAGAACATTTTATTAAATGTTTCCTTGAAGGAGGGAGACTCTTGCCCACTGTGATTTTTCTTGTAGACAGCTTATAAATGCTAAACTATAGCCTACAGAGGTAGTACAATATGTTCAAGTGGAACCCAGGCTTTCCTCTATAATGAGCTCCAGATGTTTCAGAAGCAAACATTTCATTTGGACAGCTCGAATCAACAGCTCTGTTGTTAAAGTGAATGAGGTGTTGGCATAGATCTTAATGATGCTGAACTCCCTCTTCTGTTTTGTCCCTGACAACAGGTGTCCTTATGATACCATTTTGTAGCCTTAAAGCTAACAGCCCCTTTTTGTGATGACACACTGTCGCTACAGTGATGCTTAAGGCTTGCAGTTGCTCCACTGACTGTCAGGAACAAAGTATCAGTGTGTTACAGATGCACCAAAAAAATCCAGATGTTTCTGTTTGAACCCAATGCTTCAGCGTTTCAGGCTCTTTCAGCTTTTGGTATGCAACTGGAGAATTAGAATGATGTCACCTTCATGATATGTGCCGGGAGGAGACGTCACCAAGTTCACTGAGAAACCCAAGACTGACAGAAGAATAAAACTCCACATTCGAAGCATAAATCACTGCACTAATTTGAGTGGTGAAAGCAAATTTAGAACATATTTTCAGAGCAATTTAAATTCATCTTCCACACACTTCTGTGACGCTCACCGCAGAGTATTAGTGAAGCAAAAAAGGCCTCAATGGCAGTAAAATGACACCTTGGAAAAAGTTCTAAAACCTTGAGGTGTTGCCAAAGTAATGCTAACGGTGCACTTCTCTGCTGCAACCCAATTTGTGCGAACGGGGAAGTGTGTGTGTGTATGGGGGGGGAGATGAAAACCATTCAACTTTGCCTTCTTTGAGGATTTTTTCCATCAGACACAGCTGAAGCTTGGATGAGCTAACTACCTCTTTTCCAGGAGAAGGGAACAGTTGTTGAAACAGATCCAGCGTGGTGCAAAAATGGAAGCTGTATCATAAAAAAACCCAAAATGTCTGGAAGCAGAGCAATCTTTTAGCTATCGCAGCCGAACATACCTGTTTCTACTGGTCTCGTCATGCTTGGGTGTCATGTTGCAAGTCGCATTTACATTACATAGCTCATTCTTAGCTTCTTTTCATGCTCTTAAGCTTCCAAAGTGACTCGCTTGGCTCCTTTAAAGGGAAAAGCCTCGACTTCTTTAAGGTCTGCAGTGCTGCTGCAGGGGCACATGGTAAAAGCGTTACGGCCCAAAGTGCCAGCAGATGTCTATAAAAGTAAAGAAGAAAAAAAAAAAAAGAAAGAAAGAAAACGAAGATGCTGAGTGAAGGAAAGGTTCTAGCCTGCAGAGTCTGGGGAAGAAAACTGCTCCTCCAGCCCCTTCGACAGCATACCCCAGAGGACACGACATACCCAGAGTCCTCATTTGTTTCTCTTAATGAAAAATCAGTGTGAGCCTCAGAGCACAGCAGCAAATGAAGCTGCAGTACAACTGTATGCATCAACTAGACTGCAAACATGCATCATACATGAGTTTTAATTCTCAAATTTCCCAGTTGCTTTTGAGTAAGTTTCCCCGGAGCATGTAGTCTTTATGTGCAGCAGTAAAATTGATATGTTAATGCCGCTGTTGTGAATGAAAGATTGCCCAGCTTCTGAAACTGACTGAAGCAACGTGGACTTGACCCCACGGTGCAGAGGATTACTGCATCCTCCTTCTCCAGCATCTGAAGGAAACAAAGGCAACAGATGGTTGAATCAATACACATGGTGAGGCTGGTAATCCCTCCTCCTGCTTGCTGCTGGGACCAACTTCACAGCAGGGCCAAAAGCCAACCTTCAAGCCAGATTTGTGCCTTCATTTATTTAGTTTGGGAGGAAAATCCTGGCTTACAGGTTACACATAAGTTCAGACTGTGTTTCATGCAGAAACACATAAGATAATCCAGATCAGAACAGTTTTATTTCCTGCTCAGACTGATTCACTTGAAGGCTGGAAGAGGTAGGGAGGTTTCACAAGAAAAAAACAAACAAAAATCACACAAAAGATCAATAAAACAATGATTTTCAGCGACAGAAAAACTAATTTTCCACCTATAATCATGTTGAGACCCCTCAAATTCATTTTGGGACCCCTGTGAGTTGTCCCGACCCCCAGCTTGGACACCGCTAGCTGACAGCTACTGTGTGTTTGACATAGCTGCCGAATAAATGCTAACCTACATGTCTGTCAAAGCTGATTCCAAACTGCTCCCAAAACTTTGTTTATAAACTGTCATAAAGTGACACGTGTGCAGGAAGCATGTTTCCCAGCAAACACAAGTCGTGTTTCATCTTAACTTGAACATGTTCATTCGTCATCTTGACTCAAAGGCTTTAGAGAGTAAACAGTGTGCAGATGTAGTCGGCATAGCTGGTGTTGTCTAAATTCAGTCAGTGTTTGGCATGTCAGCTAGTAATTTAATTTATGGATGACAGTGAGAACAGAGGCAGACGGGATGTGAAGCTGATAAAAACATGGCCGCTGTGGGGCTGAGATGTATTTTTTAAAACATATGGAAATTATTACATTCTAATACAGTACTTTAAACCTAAAGAGGCACTGGTGGAATATTGCTGGTGTTTATTTGGGTTTTAAGTCAGTTTGACTCGCTGAACAAGATCCATGAAGTTATTTTCAAAAGAGGCGATGAAAAACAGCAAATTGCATGTTTTTTTCTAGTAAGAAAGTAAATCTAACAGATTATAATGAGGCATTATTTTTAGATTGATTATAGTTTTAGAATGTATTTTACTGTGGAACAACAGTGTAGGTTGTAGTTACA